AAAATATGGCTCCATCTCAAACTTAAGCCATTTTAGGATGAAGGAAGAAAAAGGAAGTATATGAACTTACACACAAAAATTGTGCTTGTCTTAAAATACATTTATTTACTAAACTTTTCTTTCCAAGCTGGTTGTCTCTCACTTGAATGCTCTGCCCCTGTCTCAAGTCCTGTCTCTTATCAAGATGCTAAGCAAAAAATCGACTTGAGAATTAAAGTGTTCTGGATTGAATTTTACCAGTTGTATGTTTGGATAAATCGTTAAACATCTTTTAGCCTCAATTTTTTTTTAATCTGTAAGGCTTAATAAGACCTGCTTGTTTAATGTTATATTAACAAAATAATTGGTGTTTAAACGCTAATGTGGTGTCCCATAGAGACCAAGGTTTAGTGCATACCCTTTCCCTGCTGATAGCTTACCATTCTCTGTCTGCCTCCTTTTGGGGCTGACCTTTGAGACCACTACTTAGTGCTGTTGCAGCCAGTGAAGCCGGCATCCTGCATGTTCTAGGAATTCATGGGACAGGAGGCTGAGTGGGCAGGGTAAGGTGTGTACGTGTGTGGACAGGGAACACTTTTACTTTCGGCCAGAGATTTCCCTGTGGCTTGTTGGACAAAGAGCGACTGGAAATAATTTGGGCCTTATCTTTGCAAAATAGCTCTTCCGTAGTGCTTGCTCTTTATTTAGCCAAAGGAAACAGACGGACGCTGTTAGAGTTGGCAGCATTTCACCAAAGCAGCATTCCACAAGAATGTGATTCAGTGTTTTTTCCACTGGGCAGACCAGCCTAAAAATTCTTCTTTGTAGGTGAACATGCTACTGTATGCATGACTCAAGTTATCAGACTGGATAGACAAATACCTTAGCTTGAACAACTCTAGATACTTGGCCAGTTCTTGCCTTAAACTGAATTTCCTAACAACTCTGGGGGAACTTACATAAGATCAAAGATCTATGATTGCAAATGTATTTTCAATGCAATTTTGGAAGTCTCAAATGTGTAAGGACCTCTAAGGATCAAGCAGAACTAAAGACTAGAGACCTCAATTATCCCTGTGCACCTCTCCATTTCCAACATGCATGTGCATAGATAAATGCAGATGCATATGTGCATATATACGTCTATTAAATATGCATTTATACATTAATCAGTAGTCAGTTGTTCAGAAGAATGGATTCTGAAGTTTTTATTTGGTTAACCTCTCCTCAGGCTTAGGTCTCATCTGAACATCACCTTTTCTTGCCTCTTTGATGAAACTGCTCCTTCCTGTTAGCAAACTTAGATATTTCACGCTCACCTTATTATTACACCTTTCCTGCATTGGCCTCGTGCTTGCCTTCCCCAGTCACCTGTAAGTACCAAACAACTCAACACATTTGAGCATACAGATCTGACCATTTTCGATCAGTATGTAGGCTTCCAATAGTGTACTTGTTTACAGAGAAGGCATTCAAAAACATTTCTTAAATTGATAAGGGTAATACTGTATTTAGGGATCACAGAAAGGATAAACCTTGCTCATTTAGATTTCCAGAGCTGAGCCAAACAACCCTAGCCACAATCACATTGTGTCAATTGAATGGCACCAGGTCAATCTAGATGAAGATCAGACGAGCTAGTGTCTCTGAGAACGCATCAGAACTGGATGTTGAGATCAGTAAATGTGCAGATTGTTTTCCACTGGAGCTGTTGTGAAGTGGCTTGGAGGGAGAAATTTTGGAAAAAAATATTTTCTTGTTGGATTTGCTTTGCTTTTCCAGGGATACCCAAGGAAATCCAGGAGACGGGAAGAATTCCATCTTGGGAATCTTAAGTCTTTTTAAAAAAACCCAATGAGATTAAATAATCATGCAAAATAAATAGTTATGAATAACTTCAAACAATTCATACTTCTCTGGCAATCTGATGTTCGGCCAGAGAGGATTTAACAGCAAAGTCTGATCACGGAAGTGTCTCAAGGGTCTAAAGTCACATGGTTCTGAATAGGTGGTATCATGCCATAGTGTACGATGAAAAATCTGTTCTCAGCTTAGATTCCAAGTGGGAAGCCACAATTCTTGCCAAAAAGTGTTCAGGACGCCGCACGGTGGGCAGACGCCAGCACTACGCTTCTTCTCCATCTCCCAAGGACAAGTGGTCCGGGCTGAAGAGTCTACCCATTCCAAAAGGCTCCCAGGACAGCTTACAGGAGAGGGCAGTTGAAGGCCGAGCGTAAGTCAGTGAAATGAGACAAACCGTGAAGAGTTTCGGAAAGAGTTAAAAAATGTCAACACACAAAAATAGGACAAAGCACGACAAGGCATAGAAGAGAGTCACTGGGTTGTGGAGATCAAAGTAGTTTAAATATTCCCTGTTCCTCAAGCTTTACCATTCATCTAAGAGGGCCCTTCCCCCTCTCAAACAACCCGTTCCTGGCCTATTAAATTGTCACCCGTTTCAGCTCATCTAGAGAGTTCTGTCTTTTGTGTGGTGGGCATCTCTATCCGTGGGTGGAAGATTGTAATCTGGTTGGATGTAACTCTTTGGCAACCATGACAACTTTATAACCCTCGAAGATCCTTGAGTAATCAAATTGTACATATTTGAAATAGATTTTTCCATTTGGACTTAATTAAAAAAATCTCGTTCTGAAATTTTTGAAGTAGGACAGGTCAGAAATCCAAAGTTTGAGTATGGCTGCTCACCTCCATTCATCCAATCCCAAGACATCACCTGTAATCATTGCAGCTTCTACCAAAAAAATGTACTGACGGTGACTCATTACTTTAGAATTAAAACGTCTTCTCTACTGTCACCTGTCCTAACTTGAAGTTCTTTCATTTCTCAACCCATTCCATGGAAAGAGGTTCTGGAATGAAGTCTCTTCAAGTGTGTCATTTTTCCTCAGAAACTGTCACAATGTGAAAAGGTAATTTGTTAGGTTCTGCTGGAGTCAGACCCAGATGGATGACGCCGGGGAAGGGGTCACTTGAAGAGCTCCTCCTGTGGCCACACTTGGAGCAGACAAGGAAATGTGCATCTGCCATGAGGAGAGGAGACCAAAGAAGGGGCAGATCACAGAAGCAGGATGCGAGTAAGCAAGCTTTGTGGCAAACGCTAACTTCTAGGTTTGTATTTGCGAATTCCAGACCTAAGTGTAAGAGTTACAGGCTCAAAGCATCAGCATGCTCCGTTTGCATTTGGCTGGTGACTCAGTCCCTGGAATCATACCATCTACTGCAGAGCTGCGGGACCACGCTGTGCTCAAAGTTATTCTCTGATCATCTAGCCTTGAGACACGTTTACTGACCAATATAAAAGCATCCTGACAACTCAGAAATACTTCCACAAATACTATGGTACTAAAATAGCATGGCTAGTGACAAATTAGCATCTCTGGGCTGGGGTCCACTCCATCATCAACGAGTGGTGAGAAGCACCATGCTCTCCATTAACCTTAGCTTCCTCTTTCTGTCATGAATGAGGATGTCACATCTCCTTTTGTCTGATTTAAAACAAGTACCATGCACAGTGGCTCACACCTGGAATCCCAGCTACACAGGAGGTGGAGATCTGAGGGTTACAGTTGAGAGCCAGCCGGGCAGAAAATCTCTGAGACTCTTTTTAATTAACCACCCAAAAGCAAGAAGTGGAACTGTGGCTAAAGTAAAAAAGCTAAGGGACAGTGCCCAGGCCCTGAGTTCAAGCCCCAGGACTGGTGCGTGCGTGCGCGCATGTGCACACACACACACACACACACACACACACACACACACACATTCTCTCTCTCTCATACACACATATACACATAAAGCATTTTCTTCAAAATACTTTCATTTGACCCCTATTATTTAAGTGAATTTCAGCTACTTCCTGAGGGAAATAAAAAATTTATTTCATGATGAATTGATCTTTATTGTATTTCTAAAAAGCAGAGAAAGACAAACACACAAAACGTAACGTTTAAAGTGACTTTATTTTTGCAACAGTCATGCGAAGTAGAGAATTTCTTCATTTTACAGTTAAGGAAACTGAGGCTCAGAGATCAAGCCATACGCCCAGCACCACAGATGTAGCAGCGGACGTAGTTCTCAGGTCTGTCTGAGTTAAACAGCACAAATGATTTCCAGCATACCATGTTGGACTGTGCAAGAAAGGAAGGTCTCCATCTTCACAGATGAAGAGGCTGAGGAACAGTGAACTAGTGAACTCCTCTGTGTTGTAGTAAATCCAGCATTGTTGATGGTGTCAAGAAGAAAACCCATCTTTTTTGTTGTTGTTTTGTTTTGTTTTCTTTGAATAGAGAGGAGGCTTGGGACAGGGGACAGGAAAACAGACTTCTTGGTAATATCTGCTAGCCCTGATGCTTCAGAGTTTTTAAATGGTGGAATACGAGAAAATTGAGCTTGCTGTATTTACCTTTTTATTGGGTTCTAATAGCACACATGCTAGCGATTCTAGAGTCTATCCCAGAACACACACATTTTATAGCCTAGAAACACAGGAGACTTCTTCCTGACATAGAGTCGATTTCATTTTCCAACTTCATTGAGCCACAGCCGTATACAAGGCAAGCCATGCAGTGACATCACGATCACAAACACATTTTTTTCCTCCTAAACTATGCGCCCTCTGCTCACCACGTGGCCCTGGCATTTGGAGTTGGGAAGGCTTGAATCCCAACTCTGCTGCTTCTTATAAAAATAACTCCTCTCTGGAAATAATTGGGGGTATTTCCTCAGACAGGCCGCTTTTTCTCCAAAGCCTCACTGAACATAGACACTGTACTTCCTCTTGCTCCAGGAAAGAGTTTCACCCTGCTTCGGAACTTCCCTCTTTTTGGCTTTTTCCCCCTCGTGTGTTTGGGTTGGCCCGAAGCCTTCCATTCCTTTAGCATATCTGCTTGGTGCCAAGTGAGAGTCAGCGCTCAGCCTTGAAGTATCATTTCTGACTCAATGTTTCAGAAGGAAAACTCCGCCTCCCTGCCTCCTACAGCCTAATTACCATAATACTACAAAACATGACACGGCATCCTTCATCCAACACTGTGAATATCCGCTTTCCACCGCTCAGACTCCTCCAGAAAATGAGCCGGGGACACGTGGGAAGTATGCTGTTAAGCCAGCCAGACCACCAAGGAGCACAGAGATCATTCTGGAAGCCCTGCCTCATCTGCTCAGCAATAATTCTCGTGCTATTGGTTTGCTCCATTGTGCTGGTTGCTTATTTCCTCCCATTCAAGGTAAGGAGGCCACAGAACCTCAGGCTGCTGTTCAAGTATGACCATGTGTGTGTCAGTCTAGTCATTGTCATTGACACGCAGGGCTGGTGGTCTTGTAATGACATGGGTCTTGAAATGTGCCTGGGTGTTTTGAGACAAAGGATACTGGAGGTGTTCAATGTTAGCTGCAGAAATGTGGGAGGTGGAACTAGTTGATTTAATCACATGAGTGATAGATGTCTTGGTGTTTTGTTTCTTTTTCCTCTGGAATTTTGCTACCCCTTTCTTGATAAAATAAAAATGAGGTCAAAATATGGTATTTTTTTCCTCAAGGAATTACAGGCGAATTATGGTATAATTAAGGGAAAAGACATCAAGAGATAACAGAAGACAGGATACAGCAGTTGACAGATGATCAGTGTATCACTGAGGAGAAAAAGAGCAGTAAGTCAGGACTGAGAGGAGCTGGATGCGAGGTCTTGTTTTCTGAGTAGCTAACTGTACAAATCTGAGAAGGCCATTTGGTCTCCCTGGTATTCAGCTTTCCCATCTGGGAGGGAGGGGAATGATGTAGTTAATGTTTGCACTAGTAGTACTGTTGGCTATAAAATACTGTGGTCTATGATTTATCCAAGAGTGGTATGGGATGTAATGATGTGGGAATTCAAAGTGGAGCCAGGACTCTGGGCTTGAGGTGATGGTGGGGGGCTTCTTGGATAAGGGGGGAGAGCATGTCTGTCTGGGAAGCCCCAAAATGCGACTCAGGAATTTCCCAAGGAGCTGCATTCTAAGCTATGTGCCTTAAGAATGGAATCTGCACTGGGGATGGAGACAGGTAGAGTCTTTACTAGCAGTGTTTTCAGTATGACCTGAAAGAAAATGAGAAAACTCTAATTCAGGAGCCAAGCATTTTCTATGTGCAGATTCTGAGTCTTGGGGAGAATAAGGTGGTGCATGTGTATCTGAGACAGGGCTTGGGAGTGAATGGAGAAGCATTTTTCTAAGAACATTGACCAGAGCAGAGTTCAAAGGTGTGTGTGTGTGTGTGTGTGTGTGTGTGTGTGTGTGTGTGTGTTGGAAAGCAGCCGAGGCAAGATGTAGGATGAAGCAATACCCTTTAGATACTAGCTCAGATTGGGCAAGTAGAGCCCTGGCCAATGTTTTACCAATAAAAGTTTGCGCCCAACTTAGAGGGGTGCACAGGTTGTTTGGATAGTTTCCTGGCCTAATGTCTGCAAGACTAGCTCCAATGGGAAGGCCGGGCGCCCGCTGGCAGTGGAGCCGCTAGCTCAAGCCCTCCTCTTTCTCCTTGCCTGCACTTCCTTCCCCTGTTACCCCACAAATAAATATTCTAGAAGGGAAGCCCTGGATGGGCGCCGGCGGTGAGTCACCGAGTCACTCCACGAGCCGCCACGCCCACCTGCACAGGCCACCGGCGGCGGCCTGGCAGCGATGCTGCTCTCCGTTCTATTTCTTCTCTGTACCTTCCCTAGACACGAACTGAACTCCTATTCAACAAGAAGTTTGGCTCCTTTTAGACCAACAGAAATCTCCTTGGGTGATAATCATGCCTCTCCCTTCTTCTAGTAGACATTTCACTAAAAAAAAAGTGAGCTAAAAAGTTTGGTCCAGGGCTGGGAAGGTGGCTCAGTGGTAGAGCGCTTGCCTTGCATGCCTGAGGCCCTGGGTTCCATTCCTCAGCACCACATAAACAAAAAGAAAAAAGCCAGAAGTGGTGCTGTGGCTCAAGTGGTAGAGCGCCAGCCTTAAGCTGAAGAGCTGAGGGACAGCGCCCAGGCCCAGAGTTCAGGCCCCATGACTGGACCCAAAAAATTAAAAAAAAAAAAGTTTGGTCCACCCTTCATTATTAACAACTTTACAGAATTTGTCCAAAGAGAAAACAAGTGTGGAGGAAAGTCCCTTCCTGCAGTGAAAAGCAGGATGCTTCCACCCAGGGAAGTTTCACTCGCACTTAAAAGCAGTGTGCATTTTATTCCACATGATAATCTGATTAGGGAGAAAAATGTGTTACGTTTTGGCTATTTTGAGTCCAACCATGTAAGAGGAAGTGCGGCTATCAGAACACCTGATTCTGACCCTCTGTGCGTGTTTACAGGTGGGTGTCTGTTCCTTCCGCACACGGCTAGATTATAAATAGAAACCGGGTGAGAGTTTTGGAGATGGCAGGCTGCCCTTGGCCCTCCGCCCAGCCTCCCAGCAGCCGCATGACCTCAGGGATTAATTACCCAATCCTGCTGGCCCGTTTCCCCATCCACAGAAGGGGTGTGCTCATTCTTACAGTTGCCTCCGAGATCGGTGATAAAGTACAGTGCCTGACAGGCACAGTCTGAAATTCCTATTCTAATCGAGGTGACGCTGGTTTATTCTCTATGCTTTGACTGTCATCCCTGAGAAATTATCTCATAAAGAGATATGGATTAAAATGGAAGAACACACCTTTTCACCTTCTTAAAGGAATTCCGCATTAATGTTAGCCTTTGCCCCTTTCCTGCCTTTCTGTCCTTATGTCACTGGATTCCAAAGTCTTTCATGATAACCTCTGCGTGACTAATCTGACATCTTCCTATCTCTCTCTTTAGTCTAATCTAATGGTGAAACCATCCATGGAAAGCTTCCAACGCTGATTAAGTCCAACTGTGCTGTGTCTCAGGAAAGAAAGTTCTAGCTTAGATCCACTCACTTCCAGTGGGACTTTTCATGTTGCTGTAAAAAGCCTGTGTTTCCCCAGTCCATTCGCTCTTCTCTACTGAACGACTTCTCTTCAAATATCCAATAACATCCCCCTTAACTCTGCTGAGAACTTTGTCTCCAGGTCCTAAGAGAAAACAGAAGTTGGAAATAAAGAAGATCCAAAGCCCCCAAGACCTACCCTGCACCTACACTGTGTGCATGGACACTGCCTTCTCCTTTCCACGGATACATTTTCACATGCCCACCGGGTCAACCCACAAAATAGATCCTATTGTGTTACTTGCTCAAGGATATTGCTATAATTCTCTCCTTGCACTCATGTATGACTCCTCCATCAGTGTACAGGAACATTCTCATCAGACAATGAGCCTGTCATCCTGGCTACTCAGGAGGCTGAGAGCTGAGGACTGTGGTTCGAAGCCAGCCTGGGCAGGAAGGTCCGTGAGACTCTTCTGTCCTAGGAACCAGCGAAAAGCCTGCCGTGGATCTGTGGCTCACGCCTCGCGTCACAGAGCTCCGGGACAGCCTCGTCCGTGTCACGAACCCTCGTGGGCCACGTGCCCTGCTCTCAGTGTGTCGCCTCGGGTTGCCCCAAATGCTCCATCTGTAGGCCTCAGTGCCCAACACCTGCGGTTCCCAAGCAGACGCTGGTGTCACGGGCCAACAGGCCCTCCCCCGAGCGCTCATCTCCTTCCCTAGCCCCGGCTGGCTTCCCTGCGTCCTTCCTAAATGCAGGATGCCGGACGCCGTCTCCCTGCCTTCGACTCTGCCTGCTTTTTACTTAAATACTTGCATTTGTAAAGTTCGCCGCTGCTGATGTTACCTTTTAACAGGGAAATACGGGATGCAGCAGTCATTTCAAACTCAGGGATCCGCTTCTGCAGCCTGTCTTGGTTGTTGAGATTATCTGGATATTAAATAGGGGTGGCTTTATCAACCAGAATTGTAAATACTTATAGAGCTGGTTTTGTATGATTTTAGGTAAGGATAAACATAGGAGTTGTGTTATTTTCTTCCCACTTGCCAATAAATCACCTTGTGAAGTCACTGGGATGTGGAGGCTGCTTTTCAGAAACGGGAGAGGGGACACGATCTGGCGGTTTTCCTGTACGGGAGGTCAGGTGGCTGGAATAAGACATTGTGCTCTGTTAAGAACCAAAGCAGGGGTGACATAAAGAAAAGGTGAAGGACACAGCCAGCCATCTGGAGGAAGAAGCTGGGAGCGTTGAGAGGTGGGGCGGGGGGATCTTTTTATGGCCCTGTCGAGTTCATTTACATCAAATGTGTGGTTAAGCAGAGCTACTGTCCGCAGCCTGACTGATGGTTCTCTTCCTTCCGCAGCAGCCCGCTGGAGAGGCCTGTGTAGCAAAGTTCGGTGAGTAGCCACCTTCCCCGTCTCCTTCCACGTTGCCTAGCCCGTGGTGGCTGAGGCCGGTGGTAGTGTGCACCGCAGATTTGTCTTTTTGTTCCAATTTCAGCTGCTGTTTACGGCCACTTGTCAGCCGCTTGGTTGGTGAAGCTCACGTTTAGGATCCCATCTGTGCAAAAATACATGTCACACTTAAAGATGTGTGAGTCTGAGATTGAGCAGTCAACTTGTATTTCTGTTCCACTAAGGACAGACATTTGTTTGATTGTCTTGAAATAGTTTCTATCCTTTCTTTCCTTAAAGTCCTGTTCACATCTCATGTTGCTGATGTCCAGAGGAGACACCAGAAGCAGCATTTCTGTTAATAAGCGTAAGGAAGAGAAGTAGAGACACAGGAGCCCCAGTGTCTCGGCAACTATCTCCGCTTAGCTTCCAAATCAGTTTTCCTTATGCTCACCCGACATTGGATTAGAAAAAACGATGCGAATTTGGCAGCTGCATCAGAGCGGGGTGGGGTCTGGGGCAGCCCAGGCAGTGAGTTTGTGAGACTCACAGCCCAGTAGCCAACAGGAAACCACAAGTGGAGCTCAGCGTAGCAAAGCCGTGCCTTTGAGCACAGCAGCTGAGGGACAGCACCCAGGCCCTGAGTTCGAGCCCCAGGACTGACAAGAACAAACAAACATAGTGCTGGACTCATCAACTTCGTTGTTAAATGGGAACTCCGCTTTCATGTGAAGTTGAAGCTGGACACCGTGGCCTCTGGGGGAGTCAGGAGACGTGAGGCGTGGCGTGCTGGGGGGGCGGTGAGGGGAGGGAGTGGAGGGGGATACAGAAAGCTTCAGGCCAGGCTTTGCAAGTTTGTGGTTTCGGCATAGTAAAGGAATTCACATGTCACGCAGGCCGGGCTCCGGGAGCCTGGCGTGCAAATCCCGAGCAGATCTCCGCGCAGCCAGGTGTGGCCTGTTTGGGGAAACTGAGGCACCTGTAACCTGGAGGGGTGGGAAGAGTGGACCTTCACGGTCGGAGGCAGCAATGAAGCCACCTGCAGGTGGTAAAGGACGTGTTCCAATCGAGAAGAGGATAACAGCGTAGAATTCATGCGCCTTCTATTTTTTTCTCACAGGACCATTTCCTGCAAAATGGCAAATGACATCTCCTGAGCCTCCTTGTGTGACTGAGATGTCTGGCATGAAGCTGAAGGTCCTTCAGAACGGCTTGTACTTGATTTTTGGAAGAGTGGTTTTGGATAGAGCGTACGAGGGTCTTGCCCCTTTTGCAGTACAGCTACGTAAGAATGGAGACATCTTAGAAACTCTGACAAGCAACTCCCAAGTCCAGACATTAAATGAGATTCACGAATTGCATGCTGGAGATATAATACACTTGTTATTCAACAGTGAAGACCAGATTCTAAAAAATGATACATACTGGGGAGTCCTTTTAGAAGCGCGCCTTCCGTTCATCTAGAGATTTGATTTGGTTTCCTCCTCCTCTTCGTGTATTTAGGCAAGCTGGTGAGTTGGAGGAGGGGCGGGGGTGGATTTCCAATGTGGACAGTGGGTCAGGGATTCAAATCAATACGAATTCTGCATAGGAAATCCTAGTTTTGTGAGTACGTCGAAGGCTTTTAGCCAGCCCTGGTCTGGGGCCTGCAAGGAACGATCAACGATCCATGATACAATGAGTATGAGCTCCACAGGGTAAAAACTTCCCAGCGTCTCCCTCAAAACCTGGAATCTCTGGATACAGGAAGGAAGTCCTGTCCATGGAGCTGGTGTGCAGAAAGGTCTCGGTCTCTTGCCCTGGTCTCATTTTCTTAAGCTACTTTATTTAGTCTTTCCATTTCTTAGCTCACCAGGGCCTATCTGCCCGCAACAGCCTACCTTAGATATAGCGTTTCTGTAGATAAAAGTTCACTGAAAAACCATCGGGACAGAGGTGCAAATGGCATGGAATTTACTTTATCTTTGAATTTCACCTGTTTTTTATTCTCAGGACACAAGTTGCTTTATAAAGATAATTAGTGAAAGGGATCATTCCAAACTTTGGTCTAGTGGTAGATTAAGAGGACCCAGTAGTACTCATTAGATTTAACTCCGGGAATTGGTATTACTACTGCTAGTTTTGTTTATATAGGCATTATACAATTTTAGCTATTTTTTCCTGTTTGCAGAATATGTATCACACAGCAACTCTATTAAGTTAATAGACTAGTGTGTTTGGAAGAAATGTTCAGTGAAAACATAAGCATTAGATTACGGTCTCAGTTCAGCACGAGCGATGGACAGATCAAATAAGATTTCCAATGTATCACACCATTTCAACTCTACTACTGCTATCTCATTTTAAAGATGCATTGCCCTTCAGCACATTGAAGCTAAGTGAGCTCTTTCCTTTACCAGCAGACTTATTCTTCTTTCCTTGCCAGGAGCAGGGAGACCCAGGTGCTGCTCAGGGCTCACTCCAACCCCCCCTCCCCAGGAGCTCTTCACAGTCAAATGTGCTGTCACTCAAAAGTTATAAGTAGCATTCAACTCCAAATCCAGCACTCTATTGAATGTGCTGCTTGTAAGTTCTTTAGGAATGTATGTACTATTAAATTTTGAATCAGTTTAGAATATTTATGGGTATCTGTGGAAAACTACGTTAATATTATTACATGTAAACCTAATTTAAAAACATTTGCATTGTGTACCATAGCATTTCTTGGGTGTGCTAAGCTATTTCTTCCTATTTTGTATAACATATGCTGAGTACTAATATGGCCAAACACTTGGCACGAAACCTTTTGTATTTGCCTATCTCCTCAGGAAATTAAAGTTGTGTCATAGGTATTTATAGAACCTTGGCTGTTGTATTATGAGCAGCAGTGTGCTGGAGTGAGCTAGTATAAGAGCTGATTATTATATTGTCAGATTATTAAATCATCAGGAAATTTGTACTCTGGCTTTTAAGTATGGCCATAATTAAAACCGGCGATGTGTGGGGGAAAGTGGTCAAGGGAACAAATCACAGCTTTTGCTTTTGGAAAATTTGTTCACTTTGTCTACTTTGTCTCTGCCTCATTTCTGGGACAATTAAGACAGGCAGAGGGGGGGGAGAGAGAGAGGGAGAGAGAGAGAGGGAAAGAGGGAGAGAGAGCGAGAGATCAAGAGTGAGTGAGACAGAATAGATTTGCCCTACAAAGTAATGATTTCTCAGGGCATGTGGAGGTTTCTGTACATAAAGATGACAGTCAACAGATAATAATTGAACAAGTGAATTTCCTGGCAAGTGTTAGGTAAAAACGAGAGCGGGGTGTCTGTCATCACCTCTGGCCATGGCTGCTTCCATCCTGATGAATTAGGCAGCTCCACCCCTGACTTCCAGCCTTCCCTACTCCACCCTGGCAAAGCTCACCCATCAAAGCTGCCATTGATGTGTTACACACACACACACACACACACACACCCCAGCCCTAGTGTTAACATGTCAGGGCTGGTCTCCAATGCCTGCTGTGTTCCTTTGTCTGTATTTAAAAGCTATAATAAGATGTATGTCAGTACATGGATTTTTCTTTGGGTATCACACTAGAGTTAGCAATCTGGGGAATATGAAATCATATCAGAGAAACTCTTCATGCAGATGAACACTTGTTGGCAAGTGTTAGGTAAAAACGAGAGCGGTGTCGTCACCTCTGGCCGTGGCTGCCGCCATCCTGATGAGTTAGTTAGGCGGCTCCACCCCTGACTTCCATCCTGATGAGTTAGTTAGGCGGCTCCACCCCTGACCTCCGCCCTTCCCTACTCCACCCTGACCAAGCTCACCCATCAAAGCTGCGCTGGGCTGCCTCGCACCCGTGATCCTCCTCAGAGCTGACGTAGTTTGTAGTTCTGAACGGTGGATCGGCCCCTGCTTCTGAAGGGTAGCCATGAACTGAGAACCAATGTCATCTTGTGCATAATAATAAATCCGTAATTATTATCTACACATCTTGGAGAGCACATTCCTTCCTCTTTTGATCTATCCTAATTCACAACTTCATTTTGATGTGGGGTGCCTTTTTCTTATTATAAAGGAGAAGCAAAAACATGGAGAACTGGAAGGTCCGCAGCTTGCGTATTCCTTGCAGACAGAAGCCACAAAGCATGGCTTGGCCCTGTAAGCCGAGAGAGATGGAGCCCGCCAAAATGCGGGGAAATACCGTTTCCAGCACCACGCCGCTGGTCCCTCTCTCCCTACGCATTGTTTGGGTGGAATTAGACTACGTGGCTCACAGTGAGCTTTCAGAACCAGGCACCAATGCTTTGGATGTCCTGACTTCAGGAACTATATTCCTAGCCCTCCTAAGAGTTCCTGATTAGGCTTCAAAATGAGCCTGTCATCGCTGCCTGCCCTTCCTGGATCACAGCCTGGCTACAGCTCTCTATGAATGCTCTCAACAGTCTCTGCTGTCCCAAATGGCCTCACACTGTGTCCTCGATCTGACAGAAACATCGCAAGGTGGGCAAGAGGAGGCAAAGTATACACTCTACTTATTGCTGGCAAAGTATACACTCTACTTACTGCTGGCAAAGTATACACTCTACTTACTGCTGGCAAAGTATACACTCTACTTAATGCTTGGGAAGTATACACCCTACTTATTGTTTGTACACAAATTCAAAATGTTCAAAACTGTCACTAAAGGATTGATTAAATATAAGCTGACTTACAAGAGAGAGAGAAAAAGAAAAAGTTACTGGGAAAATAACTTTCCTTTTCTGAGACTCGTTGTCTTGTCTGTTTTGTTTGTTGCTTATCCAGATTCTGACAAACCAAAGTCAAATTTCTGTTGAATCAAAAATACCTTTTAAGTATGTTTAAAACACCAACTAATATATTCAAATCTTTGGCACAGGGTGGACTCTACACAGGTGGTGGCCACCAGCGCTTTTATGTCAGTGAAAGACTGAGATTTATTTCTACGGTTTTGGAGTTGTTGGTTCCCAAGTTAAGAGAGTTTTATGTAACATCTACTTATCTCTTACTGTCCCTCCCAGAGAAAAGCAAACTTCAAAACAAAAGCAATTTATTTATTTATTTACTTCTATATCAGCAACTCCTATAGCAGTGTCTGAAATAGTTAAGTATAGAAAGTGTTAACATTAATAAACGAAATGACACAGCCCCTTCTGCATATGAATGACCAGTGAGGCGCGAGGCATAGGTTTCTGTCTCTCAAATGATGTGTTTTCTTTCATCCCCCATGTTTTAAAAACTCTAAGGTGGATAATGCACGGAAAATTCTAGGCATAGCTAATAAATCACAACAAACACTGCTCCCACTACTGTGTGGTCTCCTCATGACCACGGTGCCCATAATTTCATTATCCTTGGACTCATGGGAAGAGGTATCCTTTTGTACAGTAAGGTCCATTTACCGTGATGATGGTTTCATCAAATTTTAGGTTAAGCCGTGCCTTTGCCTTTTATTAAATACTATATGACAAACAGCCATGTATATCTCCCCCCCGCAGAAAAAAACCAGTTCTTTGAACACAGTCTTAAATGTTGCTCTTCATTCTTTAGGGAAAACATATTCAGAAAACCAGACCTCTCACAAACTTAAAGCCAAATGTCTAGTATTTCCCTACCGTAAAGCAGTCTGTGGAATTTTGTTTTGTGAAGTCATTATAGGTGTTCATCATCTTGAATTTTGTATTAGCTACTTCAAATAGGCATTTGTAGAAACACGCATTGTGGTTTTTGAGCACAGATGCTAAGATGTTTTTGGTGGGATTTTCTTCAAGATGGTGGTAACATTACAATGTCTGAGAAATTGTCTTCAGTTTTATATGTGTCCAAGAAACTCAATTTTTCCAGTCCCAGAGTTTATAAATTTATCAGGTATTGCGTAATCAAACTCACAAGAGAGTGAACTGAATGTTTTTTAGCCAGTGTACTGTGTGGCTAGGGAGCACTGTATGGGAATTCAAATTATAACTAGAAGCCGGGCGCCAGCGGCTCACGCCTGTCATCCTAGCTACTCAAGAGGCTGAGATCTGAGGCTCACGGTTCAAAGCCAGCCCAGAAAGAAAAGTCTGTGAGGCTCTTATCTCTAATAAATCACCAAAAACATGGTGCATGTGGAGCTGTAGTTCAAGTGGTAGAGTATTAGCCTTGAGCTGGAATCGCTCTGATTCAAACCTGATTTCAAACCCAGACCCTGATTTCAATTCCAGACTCTGCCAAAAACAAAAACAAAAACCATAAAACAACAACAACAACAAGAGACTAGAATGTTTTAGGTAGGCACATGGCCAAAGGGAGGTGGTTAGGAGGAAGCCTGAATGAATAATGGCTTAAGATACTACACGCATGCTGTACTCATTAAAAATGACTCACTGAAACAATATCTTCTAGAAATTATGCTAGATACCACGGAAGATACACAAATAAAAAGGTGCGAATGCCTTTTCTTAAGATTTTAGAGTTTAGCTGAGATA